CAAGTCTTTCCAAAGCGTTCGCTCCGACCGTTACGGCGGCGGAGCCAATTCCCTGGCCGATGGCTACAGCGAAGGCACCGGCCTGGCCGCCGAGATCATCGGCACCTTCGTCCTCGTCTACACCGTCTTCTCTGCCACCGATCCCAAACGTAACGCCAGAGATTCCCACGTTCCGGTAACCTATCCCTTCTGTATAATCGGATTCGTCGTCATATTGAACGTATATATCGATATATTTTCTACCTTGTTTGATTTTTTTATTAACTTTGAAAATTATATTATTGATAAAATTATTTTTTTTATTAATTTTATTAAAAAGAAATTAAAATTTCAATTTATGCGATTCTCAATGTTTTTAATAATAATTGATTAATCATTAATAATAAGAAAAACAATGGTTTAATTTACAATTTAATATTACACCGTTTATAAAAATAAAATGGTAACGAGATGGTGAAAATGTGTATGAAAAAAGGTGTTGGCGCCACTTCCGATAGGGTTTGCGGTGTTCATGGTGCACTTGGCCACGATTCCGATCACCGGAACAGGTATCAACCCGGCCAGGAGTCTGGGAGCCGCCGTGATCTTCAACAAGGACAAGCCATGGGATGACCACGTAAGCTTTTTTTCTTTCAAAATAATAAAAAAAAACAGTGTAATAATATGATGATGATTTACATAAAATGCACAGTGGATATTCTGGGTGGGACCATTCATCGGAGCCGCGATCGCTGCATTCTACCACCAATACGTACTGAGAGCCTCAGGTTCCAAGTCGCTGGGATCCTTCAGGAGCTCTTCCAACTTCTAAAATCCCGATTTTGAAACACATGTAATTTAATGACGATAATCATAAAATTAATGGTTATGCATGGTCTCTAATCATATTCTCTCAATCTTCTTTGTGCCCTTTTGTCTTTTCGTTTGTGTATTGTGGTGAAAGAAATAAGCATTAAATGATTTTCGCTTTTAAATCTGATTATCGGAACCAAATAAGATAGAGTTTTATATTATCGCGATGAAATTCCAACTAAAAAGTGATTGGATGTGATTTTTTTAAAACAGAATTCGAATCCAATACGAAAATAAACTATTAAAAAAATCCATAATTCTTTTGAAAATAAACATAAATATTTTTATCAATAAAAAACAATCAAAATTAGATCCAATCTTTGATCCAATTAAAAAATGCGGTTTTGAATCCCATCTTGCAAAATTTCCAAATACTAATTTTTTTAGAAAACCAAATTTTTTGAAACCAAATCAATTTTTTTAAAAAACCCAAGAAAACTGAAAATTTATAAAAAAAATCTTAATAAAAGCCGAAACGAATATGAAATAAAAACCGATTGGTGCATATATTCGTAGAATTGAAATCCAATACAGAAACCCCCATCTAGTTTTTTGACTAGGAACATCCGTACATATTCAGTTCAGATTCTATTGTAAAAATTACCACAACGATCCATCTGTATTCGATTCGATTGTGGCTTCGTGTTAGTCAATTCAAATTCCAGGCACGCCCCCTTTCTGACCCAGTTCAATAACAGATTCCACATAGAACACGAAATCAAAAGAAACCATCCTCATGATCATTGATCAAGCGACAAAAACAAAAGCCCCGTTTAAACTGACGAGAACGATCTTCGGCCACAGCAGAAGATCGGATCGGGGACAGCTTCGAGAAAAAGTTGCCAACATTCAGGAAATGTTCATCACTATAACAGGTTCAGATTCCAATCCCACCGCCTAATACGATCCAAAAGAAGCAAACTTCGCATACCATTGTGTTCAAATAGAAAAGGGCAATACCAATCCGAAAACATAACAGCTAACATCTCATAGAAATTTAAAGAAAAAAAAGTAAAGGAAGAAACATAGAATCCGTTCCATCATTTTCCATTTCAGTTTTCAGGAATCTCGACCTCACCATCGGTGATTTCTTGCTGAAGATCCTTTGGGTCCTTCCCATCCACGGTGCACCCAACGGAGACACAGGTACCCAGAATCTCCTTCACGGTGCCGCTCAGTTCCTTCGCCATGGATCTCACCTTCATAACCCTAGCGATCTCAATCACGTCATCCAGCGATATGTTCCCGTTGTGCTTGATGTTCTTCGTCTTCTTCCTGTCCCTCTCCGGTTCCTTCAGCGCCTTGATTACCAGCGCTGCGGCGGACGGAACCACAGTCACCTTCGCCTGACGGTTCTGCACCGTCAGCTTCACGGTGACACGCAACCCTTTCCACTCCTTGGCTGTCTCCTTCGCGATGTCTTCTCCGATCTTCTTCGGAGATAGACCGAGCGGTCCGATCTTCGGAGCCAGAGAACTCGCCGCTCCGACTTCACCTCCGGTGACACGGACGAAGACCTCGACGACCTGTGACGGATCGAACTTTGGCGGCATTGTTGTCGGAGGTTAAGGATTCTTCAGGGGCTGTTTCGCGATCGAGTTCGAGGGCAGTGGAGAGACACGGCGAATTCGGCGTGAGGGTTTTTGTAGAGCGATGAATGTCGAAATTAGGGTTTCGTAGGAAATGACACATATGCCCTTTTACATACCAAGGCCCATTTGCATAATATATTGGGCTTGATGACCCAATAAGCCCTTTAAGGAGTATTGACAAGTTCGTTGACGTGAAAATAAACCGGTTTAATTCAGAAACTTCCGGTTTAACCTTACCGGGAAATTTGTACAAAATTGGATCTTGCTCGGTACGGACAGAGAGATTCAGGCAAGTCTCGCCGATGTTGCCTCTGATCACGGGGAGAAGAGAGAGGAGATCAATGGCGGGAGGATCACAGAGAAGGAAACTACTTTTCAGTCTGTTTCTTGCTCTGGTGTTCGGTATCGCTGTCTATTTCAGGCTTTGGACAATCGATTACACTCTGTCTTCTCATGACACTGAACGCTTAAGGTCCCTTCCTTGATTTCTCTGATAGCATTTGATGTCTTAGGCTAATACTACTGTTTCTGGGTTTTGCTTTCGATGTCAGATACATTTGGTTCAAGCGTTGTGTCTTCGGGATATAATTAGGGTTCGTCATTTGTGAGTATATGTATATTCCTAGTATCTGGTTTTAGATTGGGATGTTGCGATTTTGTCAGATTAAACTTGGAATGCTTAGGTAGACGAAACAGTTTTGAACAGAATCTGTTTGGGATTTAGGGTTTTGATTAATTCTTATCGTGAGCCGTTCATGTTGTCTTAGCTTTAAGATCAAGAATCAGAACTTTAGGATTTAGGGTTTGGGGTGTCTCCTACTAAGCAATTTGGATGTGATTCATCTGATCATTCATAGTAGATTTGGGATTGAATTTGTGTAGAAAACAGTTTGATTTAGCCAATAGAGAAGCAATGGACGAATCTGCAGAGTGGCGAAAGATGTACGATGAGGAAGCCGAAAAAGCGTCGAGGTGTAACAATGAACTAGAACAGGTACTTGTTCCACGTTCGAAATGAACGTTTTTATTGCTCTCTGTTATGGTTTTCGGATCAAAATTTGCTTCGATGTATTTGCTTGTTTGGTTTTGCAGCTTGATGATGAACTAGTTAGCTACCAGAATCGGATTTTTATCCACTTTACTCTGACATGACCATCCCGAGATTTACTTTGCTATCAGATCATCATCATCCTTAATTTCGCTCCCAGCTTCGGTCATTGATGTCTTAAGATATTACTGTTTCTGGGTTTCGCTTTCGATGTGAGATACATTTGGTTCAAGCGTTGGGTTTTCGGGATATGGCGAGGGTTCTTCATTGCGATCATCTGTATATTTCTAATGTGTGGTTTTAGAAACCAGACACTTTGTTTCTGGCCTTGTCTGGTTAGATCAATGCCGAAGTGCATTGTGTTGTGCTGGAAGGAGGTTTACGTATCGTTTTATGACTGTGGCCGGGTATGGTTATTGGTTATGTGAAAATAATTTATACGAAATAGTCTCGCTCTCGCTCTTGCTTTGGTTGACAGATTAAGGAGTCTATTGGGAGCGGAAACATCTCTAAATCTAACCAACATTTTCAGACACTGCAGAAGGTGATGTTCCCACACATTCTACAGCTTTTCTTTTTCCATGTTCGATCTGCATAACGCTTGTTCCTCGTTTAACCAGGAAAACATGGCATTGCTCGAAGAGGTGAAGACATTGAAACAAGAGCTTGAAGCTTCACGGTTGAAATGCCGCCCTTCATGAATGCTGAACCTGGTTTAATGCTGTTTCCAGATCAGAGACTAGCTTCTTGATCGTAGTTTCTGAAAGTGGTTACTAGAAGTCAGTCGCCTTTGTATCATTACTAGAACTCCGGATTAGTTTTTGTGTTACGACCCGATTCTTTTTATGTTCAGTTTTGATTCGGAAACGTGACTAGAAAGCTAAGGCAAATGGGTTACGTTACGGCCTAAAAGAAACACAAGCTATTGAATTGAATTGCTTTTGTATCATACCCCTACTCCAGTGGTAAACGTTGGGACCTAATGAAAATTCGGAAACTTTGCAATACTTCAAAACAGAAACCACCGAATTTCTCATTCCAATCAAATCCTGATTTGGGTGGGAGAGGGACTTGTTGTCACATTTAAAAATGAAGGGTTACAATGAGAATAAATAGAAAGTTTTGGGGTTGAAGATACATTGGAATTTTTTTTTGCTCTTCTTTCTTGAGTTCCTGATACTGCGGAGAAGTTTCAGTTCCCACACTTTGTCTAAGGCTAAAAGCTAACGTGGAACTAATGAACATACAAGTCTCTCTATCTCGCAAAATCAACAAAACTTTTTGTTCACACAAACAAATCAAAACTGAAACCGACCATTTCTCCCTCTCGTTTTCGGCTTTCTTTCTTCCATTTCATACATACGCAGAAACACTATGCTTTGAATACTCATCCAACTACTTAGTTTCTATTCTAATCCTTGAAGTTGACATCTTAACTATCTGTTAAAGCTTCATACCCATCTCCCGTAGAAATCCCTCCATTCTTTACGACATTGAAATCGGTATGTTATACTGATCCAAAGACATTCATTCTTGATCCTAAATTCAGCTAGCTGAGTTATGTTATACTGGCTTTGTTTTTCCTCCACCCTTATTCACATCAACATAAGAACCTTGGTTTCTGTGTTCTTAATGGGTGGCTAAACTCCAAAAGTTCAGAATAAAGGAAGGAGAGACAGCAAACCAGCTGATGAAGGCCATAGCCGTGGCCGTCTCAAACCTCGTGCAGTGATTCACATTGCATTGGTTTAGGTCGTTGATGAGCACCGTGATTCCGGCTGATGCAGAGGCGGCTGCAAATGTAAGTGTGGACGTGATCTGCAATATTCATCATATGTTATGTTCCGTTCAGACGGGTTAATGTTGTGTGCAAAGAGTTCAAAAAAGGGCCCTGAAGAGACAGAGATAATCATTATCAGATTTAAGCAATTCCTGCAATCATATATGCAAATGGAAAACAGTAACAGAGAAAGAAACATCGCAGGGCAAGAAAAATGTAACTCCTAGCAGATTTAGGAGGGGATTGAAGATGTTTTCCTTACCCCATCTCCGACGGTGAAACACTGAACGAGCAAGTGGTTCCTAAGGCTTCGTCTGACCAAAAGGGCATAAGCATCGATAAGCAAAAGAGACAAGCTCCACAAGCTTTGCAAGCCGACGGCAAGAACCAAGCAACTGTTTCAAGAAGAAAAAACACACATATTGCATGTCTGATCATATTCATACCATTACCATCAAAGCAAAGCAAAACACGGTTGTGAAAAAACACACATTTTTCCCCGAATAAATTCGGGTTTTCTGAAGAAAGAAATCTCATTTCACTTCTCAATCAGCTTTTAGAGATAAGAGAATAAGCCAAGAATCTTGAGTTCAACCCAACCCACCATCAGATTCAGACCAATCAAATCAAAACAAACCCTCACTTCCATGGAACCTAACTAAGAATCACATACCCCAGAAGTATCAAGTATTCAGCATGATTCACCGAGAAGAGATCGGAAACCCTAAATTTCCAGCATCCTAAACCCATTCGGGAACCTAACTCTAAAACCCAGGTCCAAATTTCACCCTATTTAAAATCCCAGAGGCCGCACAGAAGCACGAAGGATCATGATCGGAGGAATTAGATACCAGAAAGCAGTGGCGGAGCGGAAATCGGAGGTGGTGGCCATGACGGAGACAGAGATGATGGCGGAGACGAACTGAGAGAGGCGTAGGAAGAGGCCGCCGGTGGTTCCGGCCATGCCCTGGACCTCCTTCATCCTCACCGGAGGTCGGTCTCCGGCTCCGGCGGTTTGCGGCGGCGGAACCACCTCGACCGGGTGCACCGCCGGTCGGCTGATGCTCATCGTTCGCTCCGATGGATCTCAGCGAGAACAAGCGACACTGTCTGTCTGTCCCCCCCGGCCTCAGAGAGAGTGGCTTTTTCTTTTTTATTTCGGTTTTCGTGTTGGAGTTCATTTTAAAAAATATTCGATTGTAATAAGTAGAAATACTAGGTTAGATTAGATTAGATTTTATTTATATTAATTCAATTATATATTTTATGATTCTATTTGTAATATAAAATATTTCAATGTTTTATATTGAATAATGATAAATGTCATGGGTTTCTCTGAACCCGATTTTTAGCTCATTCAATCCGTTCATTGATGTGCACATTTGTGGCATTTTTTTTGGACCTAATCACTATCAAGATATAGAGAGAAGATTTGGAAAGATGGTGTAATATTTAGATTGATTTTTTAACCAAAAAATGTTTAGATTGATTTTTTTATATTTTTTAGATATTTATATTAATATCACTATATATTTTGAAATTTTATTTCTATCTATAACTATTATAATACTTTATGCTAAATAATAAAAAATCTAATTATTCTTCAGAGATACGCAATAAATCAAAAGTGTTAATTTGGAGTTACCAATGGTAAATTAAACATACAAAAAATACCTCTATAAGTGAAAATGTATATCAGTAAGAAAGAAATTGATTCATTCGTTGACATCACGTTTATGTAATATTTACGTAAGACGATTATATCATTATAATGTAATGTTTATGTAAAAAGTTATAGATATTTTAAATTTGGATGTGTATTAGGTCAATGTTTGGTGGTGGTGTGAGTCAACATAGACCGGCAAGACCCTGCCAGATGGAAGAATTGAGCAAACACTCGAAAAAGAATTGCAGGATTATTCAACTTGCCATGAAAGATTGCTGAGAGATGGAGTGGATTGGCTATACATGTATGATATCTATAACTAATATAATCTATATATAGATTACGAAACTTGTATTATATATATTATTACCATTCACAATCTTCTTATCTTTTTTTTTTGTGCATAGTGCAAAAAAAATGAATATTGAAAATTTGTTTATGCTTAGAACTTGTAAAGAAATATCAAAGAAAAAAAAAGAGTGAAATATTTAGACAAAAATATTTAAAAATATTTGATTTGAAAAATTTCATACATCATCTGTTTATATTACTCTCATCTTCACACCACCCCATCCATCGATCGCACCTGTGCACGAGCTGGATGGAGAGGCCTACCAACGACATATGACCGGACCTACTCTCGCGGTCCCGGCCGAACTTCATCCATAGTGGCTCCCCGCTTCAAGACTGGCTCTTGTTGTCCGAAAGTTTCTGATCGCAGCAACATTAGGAATTGAGGCATATTTCTTCATCAAAGTTTGAATCTTTTCGAGAATTTGATTTCTAGTTTTTTTTTTTTTTTACCGATTTCCCGTATATACTGAATTGAGTCCACGTTATGACCTCGATTTTCGCCCCAAGTTAACCTAACTTGTTGGAAAAGGAGCAAACTTTGGTTACCAACGAGGGTAAATAGTTTCAAGATGAGACTGTAGAGTTAAACATGGGACTATAGGTGATCTCTTTGAAAGTATTTCTCGAAAAGTGTTCAAGTGAATGCAAAGCGATCTCGCATAGATCGATGGATTTAAAACTTCGAACATGCGTGCACGTTTGGGTCGGGCTGCAATGCCATTGAAGTTGAGTTTGATAAGCTTTGAAGAAGAAAACCGGATTCATTAAAGCCTGTACACCCGGTTTGCAACCAAAAGGAACCGGTTACGTGTTATGCACTCAGTGAAATAAGATGGCGGTTTTCAGACCGGTTTAAATTCCCTGAACATGTACAAAAACCAAACAGTACTCTCAACAACAAACCAACTTTCACTTCCGGGTTTCATCAGTGTTCTCGACAATAAACCTGAGAAGACGTCGAGAACTGGTTCGTTTCGGATAAATAGTGCGGAGTTGAACGTCCGATGCAGCGGGTTTAACAAATTCATGCAAAAGGATCGAAACATAAACTAGAAATCAGACTACCAATCAATCACAATACCGAAGTCAAAAGGCAAGAACTTGAAAAGGAAAACCGAATCTAAACCAAAACGAAGCAGTCGATCTCGGGGCACATTCAGAGATACAGAACACGGTATTGGCTTAAACCTAGCGGTAATTTCTCAAAAAAGACCGTAACTTTACGACCTTCATGCATCCAAGCCACAAACCCATGAATCTGTTATGACATGTCCTGTATGAACGTTATCACAAAGTGAAGAAGGCTGAATGCAAGAAAAGGGTTGAAGTTAAGAGTCATTACCCTTCCAGAATCTGCATTTCGAGAATTGGTGGATGCTCAAAACTGGCGCCTTGGTGGCCTAGACTCGGCCATTGAGACTCGTATTTGTCTGCCATCCAGATCCTATATAGCACAGAAACATGTTGGGAGTTTGTTCATAAACAATGAAAAGATTCGAAAGAGGAATATGATACTTACAACACCATCCAAGGATCTGATGGCGTTTTTTACTTCTTGAGGAGAGCTGTATGTCACAAATCCAAAACCCTTGGATCTACCACTGTCCCTGTCATAGATAACCCTAGCCTCAACAACCTTGCCATGCTCACTGAACATGCTCTCAAGCGCCATGTCATCGACTGCCCAAGCAAGGTTGCCCACATAAACACGGCTCGATGGACCCGAGCTTGAACCCGAACCAGAACTTGGAAAGCTGGATCTGGGTCCTCTAGAGAAGGGTTCTTCCCTCCTAGGTGGAGGAGGACCTGAGTTCACTCGCAAGGGTCTGCCTTCAAATTCCTGTATTATTCTCATGTCAAAACGATCAGAACATACAGAAGCCAGAGATAAGCTTGCTGGATCTGAACAACAAGACCGTAGGAAAACGACAGAGAAAGGTTCACAAGAGGAAAACCACGGATCACCCAGAAGTTTGATGGGTTTCATCTAAGTAAAAACAACTTCAATTCTCAAGCAAAATAGACATGTCTTATAACTGGAATATAGAAAAAGCGCGATTCCAGTAACCTTCACATTCCAAACAGAAGATCACAGTTTCAAAATTTTCATCTTCAAGAAGCATATGAACATGAACTATAAGGTACAGTGGCAGTTTCTTACATAGCCATTGAACTGTTGGGCTGCAGCCTCGACTTCATCAACCGTCGACATTGTCACGAACCCAAAACCTCTGCTTCTGCCAGTCACTTTGTCGTAAATTACCTACAAGATCAAGTCACTGTAACGCATGAGAACAGTAAGCACTGTGCTCTCGGGCATACAGAGAACAAAAATCATAACCCTAACACATAATGCTCTCAACAAGGACTCGACCATCATCTTAATCAATTGAGATTCCTAGAATGAAAAAAACCCTCAATCGCTAACCACCCATTTCCCCTAAACAGCTTACCACAAAGTTACAGGACATGAGCGATAAAGGACATTACTTTCTTTTCAGAAAGCTAAAGCGAAACACATTCAATGAGTAAATTAGGTTAAACCCATAACAACCAGCAATATTTCCATAAATCAGAAGCAAAACCCTAAATTCGTACCTCAACCATCTGAACATTTCCGACGCTACCGAACAAATCAGCGAGCTGAGCACTGTCAACGCTAAAGGGAAGATTACCCACGAAGAGCTTGAGATCAGGAGAGAACCCAGGCTCCTCCTCCTCGGCATCGCCACCAAACATGCCGTCCTCCTCCACCTCTAAGTCCGAAGAAATGGAGACGTTTCGCAAGAACCGCGACGGAAAATCGCCGGCGGCGAGGCATTTATCGGCGGAGGAAGTAAAGAGAGAGGCCGAGATGGGCTCGGAGTGAAGCTTAAACGAGACGGAGAAGGGTAGGAGAAATAGCGAAGCGGGTTTGGAGACGGAGAGAGGAAGGGATTTAGGTTTGAACGAGGAGAGGGCAAGAGATGAAGCGGAAGCAGCCATGGCTGAAGCTCGGATAAGATTTTCGGAGTTCAGGGAGAGATGGAGAAGGGGATAAGAGCGGCGAGTGTGAGATACTTACGGGCAACGAGACCCCAAATATATCTCTGAGTTGATTTTTTCTTTTCAAATTAAATATAAAAAATATCAAAAAACTGTATAATTCACTATTTATCAACAATTTTATATATCTCTGAGTTGATTATTTCAACGAATTATTATTTAATGTTACCTTCTTTTTAAAAATGACTATTGATATCGAGTACATAAAATTCGTCCTATTTTATTTTTGAAAGTAAAAATCATTTATGAACTGTTAAAATCTTCCAATATATGTAAAAAAAAAAAATACCATGTGCATGTTAGTTCGCATACACATAGAAGGATTCTAATGTTTGACATGAAATCACATTTTCTCCACCCATCTAAAAACGTAATTAAAAAGGTCAAATACATATCGATCAATATGGTTTAATTTGGATGAAGGATCAAAATCAATGAAAATTCATACCAAAAAATAAAAATCAATGAAAATTGATGAAACGAAAATGATGTAAAACGAGAGGACAACATTACCGACATTTCGGAATCAAAATCTCATTTTTCTTCAAATCAAACATTTTCACTGTATCAATCAAATCGACAATCTCTTTCCTAATTGCATGTTAAATTCATGGAATGTTAATAAGATTTGGAGGAGTCAATCTTATCCGACCGGTCTAAAATTCGGAGGAAAACTTCCACACTCTATATTATTAATTATGAACGGTTTAAATTTGATTTAAAAAAAATATAAATTTTATCAAAACTATTCATACAAATATAAAAAAATTCCCAAAACAATCATCCCAGATAACTAATAAATTCATTAAGAACTTTTAAAATGCTCATATTCATGATGAATTTGAAAATTTTTTGTTCGTGATGAATCTACTAGTTATCTCTAAATTGGATGATTGTTTTGGAAATTCTCTCAAAGATATTAAACTATGATAAATGCTATTGTTTTACAAATCGGAGGATAATTTTTTTAAAACTGATGTAGAAATTGTTATGTTCGTTCTATATTTTTTGTTTATAGTGGAATTTCACAATCATTATTAAAATCAAAAGTTAAGAAATTGACTTGCTATTTAATTTAGTTGTACTCTTTTTAATATATTGATATTAGAATATTGATGTCTATAATATTGAATCGTAAATCTTAAACCCTAAATTTTCACTCGGAGAGATCTATTTTTTTTTAGAGTGGAGCCTCCCTAATACCATTTCCTAAGGTTTGAGTGGTATCCTTCCGTTTCTACATAAAGATAGATTGATGATAGATTGAAGATAGTCTATATGTATTGGTGTGGGGTGTCATGCCCCCATATATGTAGCTAAAAAAATTTTATTTACTTGTAATTGTTATAAAATTTTGATAAAAAATATTAAAGCCCTCATCTAAGTTTTTGTTTTGCCCCATCTGCTCTCATTATTTTTTTCTTTTCTTTTTTAATTTTTTCTCTAAATATTAGGTTTTGTGACATTTTTCTCCTTAATCTTTGTTTTCATCTACTTTTTGCTTTTTTTTTTTCTCAATTTCCTAAAAACAGTTACAAATCTAATATTAAACACAATACAAAAAATAAAGAAAAATTCAATTAAAAATATATAAAGTTACAGTTTTTATCTAATTTATTTTATAAAAAATATATATTTCAGATAATTATAAATAAAATTCTTATAGATAAAATTTTAAAAATAAAAAATCGTAAATTTAATGATAAAATGTAAATATTGTTTTGATAGTATATTTTATTAATTTTTTTTATATTTTTTATAAAATACTTTAAGAATGAACGTTGTGATACGATTTTTTATAGTCGAATAGTATAGAATCGAACAATAAAATATTTTTTTAATACGAACGATATTATTTTTAGAAAACTGAATTTTTTGAAACGAACCGAATTTTAAAAAAATAGAAAAAGGTTTTTTTATAAAAGATCTTTTTATAATAGAAACCGAAACCGAACCGAATATGATATAATAACCGATTTGTATATATTATTCTAAAACCGAAAGAACCGAAACGATATATTTTCAAACTGAACCCGAACCGAATACCGGAACATTAATCTATTGTCCCTACTAACATTTTTGTCTGGATCCGTTATCGGTCTTAATAAAACTAGAGATCATTCACCGGTAGGAGACTCTTAGTTAAAGAGTGAATTCCTTGGTATAGTTTAAGTTACGAGGTTGCATCGTTTGTATGTTTTTTTTAGATGTCAGTTTCCCGATTTAGAATTCAAACGCTGGCAATTTTCTGAACGTTGGCTCAATTCCGCGGAGGCGGGAGTGTACACGTGGTGAAAGATGCAAGCATGAGATCAGATCGAAAACGACTGCCACGTAAGCTAAACCAAGGGGTAGAAAAGGAAAAACAAAAAATATGAGATCTAATAAGAGCGAATATTCGCGCACGTTCTTCTTGCTAGGGTTAAGTTCTCGAGCCGCTTCTCTCTCTCTCGTTCTATCTCCGTTGTTCTTCTTCCTCTTCAATGGCAGGCATAGCGCGAGTGGCGAGATCCTCGTCCATCTTCGGCGTCGGAAGATGCTCGTACTCCACCACCGCTTCTGCTGCGTCTGGTACTGGTCTACGCGCCGACCACGCGCCGCCTTTCCTTCACAGCGGAGGAGTTGCGAGAGACGTTTCGAAAGATAGGAACGTCCAGTGGGTGTTCCTGGGTTGTCCTGGCGTCGGAAAGGGCACGTACGCGAGCAGACTGTCGAGTCTCCTCGGTGTTCCTCACATCGCCACCGGAGATCTCGTCCGCGAGGAGCTCGCTTCGTCGGGACCTCTCTCTCAGCAGGTGCGGTTCTTCCTTCACTTTTCGGTTTTAAATCTGAATCCTGTATGCGTGACTGTGGGTCCGATCTGCGAATTCGTATCTATTCGACCTCTGGATCTGAAGGACTTCATTTTACTCATGTTGTAAGTCTTAGTGCCGGCAGATCATAACGGTGTGAACTCATTTTTGGTGTTTCGAAGTAATTCGATTGCAAGCTTTACTAATCTGATGTTTATTCGTCTCTTTCGAATTGGTCAACCTGTAAAACGGATCTGTCTTTCACCGGAGAAACAAAGCAGTTACATGGATCCAAATTCTGATACATTCTGTGTAGATATAAGATGCATATTCTCTCTCTGTATAAAGAGTAGATAGATCTTTTCTGAATTCTTTGTTGTTCGATGCAGCTGTCTGAGATCGTAAACCAGGGGAAACTGGTTTCGGATGAGATAATTATCAATTTATTGTCGAAGAGACTTGAGGCTGGTGATGCCAGAGGTGAAACAGGGTTCATTCTTGATGGGTTTCCTCGAACCATTAAACAAGCGGTAATCGTTCTTCTTGTATCTTATGGGTTTCCTGTCTTGTTTCGCCATTTCCATGCTAAGCCATATTAATCGAGGTTGACTGTACAATAGGTAGATTACGGATTAGCTCGTCGATTAGTTGATCGTATCAATACCGTTATCTTGACATTGGCCAGTGTTTTGATTCCAGGAAATTCTGGACGGTGTAACGGACATCGATCTAGTGGTGAATCTGAAACTTCCGGAAGGAGTTTTGGTTGAAAAGTGTCTCGGACGAAGAATCTGTAGCCAGTGTGGCAAGAATTTCAATATTGCTAACATTGACTTCAAGGGCGGGGATGGAAAACCCGGTATTAGCATGGCGCCTCTCCTTCCTCCTTCACATTGTACTTCAAAGCTCATTACCCGGGCAGATGATACTGAAGAGGTTGTGAAAGCGAGGCTTCGTATATACAATGAGCAGGTAAATCCCCTTATTACGAGTTAGTAAAATGCAGTAAGTGATGACTGTATACTGAGATTCGGGTAATTGTTTTTAATGCAGAGCCAACCTCTCGAAGAATACTACCGTACAAAGGGTAAGCTTTTGGAGTTTGATCTTCCGGGAGGTATTCCGGAATCATGGCCGAGGCTTCTAGAAGCTTTAAGCCTCGACGATTACGAGGAGAAACGATCTGCCGTGGCATAGATCGTAATCAAAATCACGGTAAACTTAAATTCTTTTGCATGTGGAAGACATGCGTAATCAATTTTGCGTTAGAATAAGAAAAACATGATTGGTTTTTTTTCTTCTTCCTCCCTCGGACAAAAATAACACTTGCAAACTCAGTGTGATCTTACAGCGGACTGTTCGTGGAGCCGGGATCAGGCTCCATAAGAGAAACAAACCTATTGTATGTCTTTGATTGTATGACATTTGAGACTTACAGGAATGTATACTATCATTTTGGGTATATCCATCGATACTATTTTTATTTTTGCAACTGGCCGAGCTGGCTGGTTAAAGCGGTGACCAGACAGTAAGTAAAAACAGTTGCTTTACATCAAAAGTGTGTTTGGAACTGATAACCAGCTCTTGTCCGTCGGAGATTCCGCGGTTCAGGATAGTTTTGTTCCGTACATTGTCGTCTCCTCTCCTCACACGTGTGTGTGATTTGATGACGTCTTGATTTTCTGTTTCAAATTTTAGAATTTTTTTTGGGGTTAAGTTTGTCACAATTACTTGGTCACGAGTCGGGTATCTGAAATCGAACGGTTCGGAATCTAACGTCGAATTCATCATGGGCGGGGTATTGTATTCCAAATGTTCGGATATCCGTATAGGGTGAGTGCGAGGATACGTATTAGGCGGTTGAGGACGAGGGTGATCTGGGCATTACGGCTTGATTCACAGGCGAGATGCCGTCGGCTGTCGGCGAGAGAAAAACGGATTAGGATTTGGGACACGGATATGTAGGAGATGACCTCTAGGTTTCAAAATAAGACATTTTCGTAATATGTAGGGATAATTCCATTTAAAACCCTGTACTTTTCTCTCGTCGCAATTTAAACCCTGTACTTTTTTTTGATCCAAAAAAACATTGTACTTTTAAAAATTGGCAATTAAAACTCTATACTTTTAAAAATTAGCAAATAAAACCCTGAACGAAAAACAATATTATTTAATGCTGACATGGCATCCTAGTCATCTGCCACATCATCAATCCCTAATATTTAATAATATTAATTAATATAAAATAAAAATAAAATAATAAAAATAAAAATAAAATTTTAAAAATTATACACATACATATATAATGAAATGATATACATATATACACATATATAAACATATTTATATATATACACACATATATATAATACATATATATATATAT